AGCTGTCTGAACTCGATTGCAGTTTATTACAGTTTGTTTATTTAGTTAGTGTCAGCAAAGTAAAATGCAAAATGCCATGATGTCAGTAAGTAATTGCTTTCTATAACTACTTCAAGAGATGGTTATTAATTTCCGTAGTTATTATGGTTAATAATTATTGTATCTATGTAAAAAATATCAAGTTCAAAAAATTCTTGTAGCACATATATTGGCATAACGTTGACCCAATATAACTCCCGTTTAGCCAACATACCGCCAATAAATTGCTACTAGGGAAACTTTACCATGAAATAGGATAAAAATTCTTGGGAAAAAAGTCGCATATTTTAGTGCTTAAATTATGTATTACCTAGTCCGATAAATTTTTGATGATAACGCAGAATGTATTTTTGTTCAGTATATCGATTCGTACATACATTGCACATTTGTGTTGGCTGCGGAAATGGAGAAAAGGAAAGAGCAGGAGAAAGAAATATCAATTAAAGTCTTTTTTTTTTAGTTTTTTTATTCCTACGAGATCAAACGCTATACGACAATTAAAGTCGTTAATTTAAATTAAAAAAAAGTTATATCGTACAACAGGAAATTACCATTAATGGGATTTCGAAAGGTAAACTGTTCGCGAGTTGTTTGTTTCAAGGATAAACCGTTTAAATGAAAAAATTTCATTTTTCGAAAATTCTCGACGTAGCAAGACACGAACGTAGCAAGACTTATCGGATGGCTAATAGTGAATTTAATTGGACGCAGCAGTGCGTACTCAATGTCCATTAAAGTCATTGAAACAAATCGATATAAAGATATGTTTAATATAAACATAGAAATATGGATTAAACCGCGAAATTCTTAATATGTTTTATTTTATTATAAAATATGTATTGGATATCTTATCAATATAAAACATGGTTTTAATATGCATTAGTGCATCTCACCGAATTTGCTATAAGTCGACGATTAATATTTTTCGCAGCAACGATTTCTTTCTGTATCGCGAAAACAAACAAATTCTCTCTTTGCGAGGATTAATCAAGCGAGAAATAGTATCTAAAAAGTTTTAATTAGATATATAATATAAATCTAAAGATAATTTTGTTGTTAGACAATTTAATTGACCACAGTTAACCAACAAAGCAATTATGTATAATATATAGGACGTTCAAGCTGATTGCTAGACATTTTTTGTAGCGTTGCTTGTCGTACTTCAAATTCCTACGTAATTATTTTGATGGCGCAACAAAACTATTTTCAGATGTGTCTAGTTCAATTTTTAAATGCTACGGCAAAATTGTTCTTTCCATGCATACACGTCATGCAGATAACGAGGTCGTCAATAATTTGCTACGTAATATCGCGAATGGATCGAAAAGATTGATTGGATCGAATTCCTTTATAATTCTCTGTGTTGAATTACTGAGTATACTGTCTCTATCGTATCTCGTATTCCTCAGACATATTAGATATTAGATACCTATTAGCGTAGCATGTGAATCACATCTCACGCGTTGATCGATAATTATCAAACGCTTTGTGTTACGATAGACCGCGTTCAATTCCGCGCATATCTTCGCTATACATCGAGGACACTGGAGGCGAAGAGAGTTATTACGTTCCCCGCTTGGTGAGGATGAGACGTCTCCGGTTTGTATCGCTTGACACGCGATGGCCCGTCTTGCAACCTCGGGCCAAGCAGACTCCGAGATAACAGCGACATTATATCGCAATATTAAAACAGTCGTGACGGTTTGCGACGTACTTAGCGCCTCTTGCGTTAATGAAACCGCGGAAGCAGCTTAAATCCGAAAATGTAACTGTAATTATCGTGTGACCGTAATTGCGCTAACGTTGCATCGACGCGTGATGTACCCTTAATTTGCGAAATTAACCGGAAACCCAGCGCACGAATCGAATGCCGGCAAATCTGTACCTAACGAGTTCTCTGCGATGTAATTATTACATATTATAATTATTGTAAGTTGACGTTTAATTAAAATGGTTGTTGTTCTAAACATGAAATTCTATTCTAATACAACACGATTGAAACATATCGTGATAAAATGAATTGTAGTATATATTGTATTTAGCAACTAGTCAAGTAAAAATAACTACCTAAACAGACAAGTTACGTTTGAAAAATGTTTTGCCGAAAAGTTTTTTTACGCTGTATACAAAAGTTAGACATTTTAATGTTAAGCATACTTTGATATGTTTCGTATACAAACTATATTTTAAATTAGCAAAAAGAGTTTAATAAATGTTACAAACGTCTTATAAAGTTTTTACGACATTTCTTTTTTAATTTATACGTTTATTATATATGATTCTTTAAACATAATTTGAATTTAATTGTTTGTTTATAGTTATAAATATTTTCTAAATTCATAGCTTTTAGAAAATAATAAATAGCTTTTAGAGAGAGAGAAAGAGAGAGTTTTATTTTCTGTAAATTTACAATTGTTTTTTTTGTATATGTTCGAATGACAAAACATTATTTTTTAATACGTCTTTTTTTTCCTTAAGATATTACATTATAATTCGGATTTACAATAGTAGTAATGATTTGACAAATGAGCAAAATGCTTAGAATTTTCTGTTTAAACATGTTACCGATAAATTACAAGGAACTTTTCAAAGCATTTTAAGTTGGATTACTTTGCTTGAATGTTGGAGCGATTGTTTGAGTGATTGCAATTCTTTCGCAAATTATTGTTCAATTGTTTCGCGTGATTAATGAGCTTTAAATAAAACTTAGTTCTATACACACAAATTAACATTTATTAAACAATCAATTCTAATTAATATGTTTATTAATTATTTTTACTTACCTCTCTCAAAAGATCGATAAAATATGTCCTTTATCAGATTTCGTTAAGTATTGACTATTTAACTTTATTTCCTAAATTAAACATTTCATCTTTTTATTTTTTTTTTTTTTTGTTAAAATTGAAAACAATCAAAGATTTACAAGAAATGGAATTTCATAAAGTTATTATTAAAAATATACATATTCTTTTAAAATTGATTTTGAGTTTATTGATTTACTAAGTGCCATTTTTATGTCTGTACTCAGAATTTAATATAAACCTTGATTATATAAAAAAAAATTTTTTTTTCAATAATTATATCTTATTTACGTTTTTTTTGTATTTTGCTCTTTGCATAAATAAAATCGTACATGTGAAAAATAATAATTCTAAAGGTTCTAATTTTCTATGAGACATGTTTTTTAGACACTTTATTTTAATTAATATGCATAATGAATTTTTTCTGTCAGTTAATATATACATAATTAACAGTCATGAAAAATAATTTTCTACTTACATCACGATGTATATATATTATATATTTATCAGTATCGATACGAAATACATTAATGGTATTATTAAAATTTAATTATATTTCATGTACATACGATCAATTATTGTATAATTAGACAATTCATTTAATAAATTTTCAACATAAAACATTTTATATCATATAAAATTATGTAATATAAATTAACATTTTTAAAGATTGATTTTTAACTCTTAATTCGTTATAACGCGCGTTCTTTTGAAATACTGAGGGAATATCAGTATATATTTATGTATTTAATTTGTATATATAACGATAATATTATACATTGCACACACATAAGAAAGAAGTGGAATGACTTGAAAGCTTACTTACATACTATCTAATATACAGCAAATACAAGCATCGTCATAAAGTCAACTTTGAGAGTGTGCGTGTGAATTGTGCGGGTAAAAAGATTTCTTCTATCTCTAATTGATTTGAGCTGTGGATTGGCAGTTTATTTATAGACATAATCTTAAATGTGATTTTGGTTCTCGTCGCCGATAAATCTTTTTTTAAAAACCATAAATCTCAAATGTAAATGCACACGTCCGTAAATGAGATAACTTTGTTATCTTTCGTTACGTAATATGTACAATGCTAATTGCGAGAGTTTATTATCATGAACATTGGTGAAAGTTAACATAGAACCAACGTTGCTGAGCACAACTTTTGTTTACAGAACTCAATATCCCATTTGCATTAAACTGCTTGCTAGAAACTTGCCAAACTTATAAGGAGCAAATAATACTTGATTCCCATGATGAAATGTTACTCTCGACGAGATTTCATTGCTAAATTCGCGAAGATGTAATATATTTGTGAATTTTATATTTTACGAAATATAAAATTCTCTGAAAAGATTTCAAATTTTGTTTTAAAATTCAAAAATTCCTTCAATATATATATATTGTAGTTTTAATTATTCCATTATTTTTACCGATAATATTAAAAAATTAGCTTTTTGTTTCATGTTGTTTGTTTGTATTAAAATTTCTTATCAGAATAGATTTCTAAATACTTGAAACGCAGACAAGGTTGACTATTTTGCTCTAAAAAAGAAAAAAATAAAATTTAGTCTTTAGAGATATCTTAATGTAAGCAGAAACTATAAAATTTTTTGGAAAAAAAAAACTTTTGTTTCCGTGCGCGAGAGTTTATGATGACCAACGACACGAGGTAGTAATTTGTTCTTGAAGTTCGCGAGCAAATTCGTCCACGTCGAAAGACGACCAAATCTCATTCCACGAATATTATTCACTCGTTACGAGTTCAAGCAGAGTTTCTATCAAGTAGTGTCACTTGGATAAGACATTTCTTTAAACGAAAGTTACATGATTACGTGAAACTTTGTAGTTCTCCTTAGATTTCGCCACTGGGGATACAGAGATTCTCAGAAACTGTCTGCAGTTGAATCTCTCGCTTTAAGTTTACTCACAAATAGGTTTTTCTTTGATCTCACGCGGAATCTGTCACATCTTCTTTCACGAACGTTTGGATTTCATCGTCAGAGTTTTCAGCTCGCGAGATCTGAGACGAACTAAAGGTAATGTGATTTTTCGATACATGAGTTCGATAAGATGTCTAGAATCGAGTCTAGAAAAGAAAAAAAATTCGAAGTGTTTCAACTTCTTCCAACAAACTTCGACTTTGCAAAAATGGTCGGTTTACAATAGTCACGTGGCATGGCAGATGAAAATCTGGAAATACCGTCTTACATTTTCGATAATCAGGAGAACCATAAGAGTCAGTACGGTGTTAGTTGACGTAGTCGCCGTGGAATTTCGCCGATCGCCTCCATGCATAGCTGCCGGTTTCTCTTCCTCTGTGAAAATAGATAAGATTCTTTGATAGGATCAAACGCGAGCGAGAGAAATGCAATTGGATGTACAGAATGCTTGAAATATCTGGTTAAACTTTAGCAGTTGGTGTTTGAGTCTTCTATCGATTGTTTTCTGTTGAGAATACGTTGTATAAACATTGAGCAAATTACAGGTTTCTAAACTGCAGTACATTAAACGAAAAGTACATTAAACTAAAAACAAGCCAAATTTATTAAATAACAAATAGCAAGTAAGTTTAAAATGAAAAGCGATAAATAGGAGCATAAAAGCTGAACAGGATTTGAATCTTAATTAATGTTTATATAATAATTATTAATTGTACAAAACTATAAACATTTCAACTTTAATTATAAGCCATTTTCGATGTTTGCACGATTATTCCAAAATATGCTCAGAATACGAAAATTAATTGTACGTATAATAATCGAAGATTTGATTATATGACCAATACGTCAATTTGTAAAGTTTTTTTTCTTTTTGAATATGGCAATTTGCGACACACTTCCTTTTAACTACGGATTTATTTGTAATATAAATAAATTAGTAATTAAAAAGTCTCGCCACACATTCAAAAACAAAACCTTTATAAAAAGAATAGGAATATTAAGTTTATTTTAATAATAATAATTTAAATTTGCAGATATAATGTCAAAAATATAATTAGGTTAGATAATTTCACTGTTCATTGTATAATTAAATCAATCCAACAGATCCATCTCAATTCTGGAGGGTTAAATATCCAGGAATAGAGGAGTTAATGAGTCATGAGATGCCTGTCGAACAATTGCTCACCTTCGATGACATGTAGCACGATGTGAGCCGGCCTGGCGTTGCTCGGCGAACATGTATAATTCGCACCATGCGATAGCTTCACCTTCTCCACGACGAGCACGGAGCCGTTTCTCTTAAGCTCGAATCGAACGCCGGGCTCGTTGTCGTAGTTTATCATACGCGTCTCGCGATACCAGAACACGTAGCTAGGCGATTCTGCGGCTGCCATCAACTGGCACTCCAAACGCAGGCTGGAACCCTGCTTCACGTGGAGATCCGGCCCACCCGGTATCACCGAATACGCCTCCGTGATGTTCAATTGTATGAATCGCTGCTGCATTGGTTCCGTCTGAATCTATTTTATTAGAATATCGCGAAATAAAATTTATGATTTATAAAATGCATATTGTATCACTTGCTTATTTCAAAAGTGACAGTACGGTTAGAAAATTAATTCCTAAAAAAATCGTCAAAGTCATCAAAAGTTTCTAATATTAATTAAATATAATCACATTAATATTAGAAACTAAAAAAAAGGTGGTTTTTTAAGAATTGTGAAATAAAAATGACATTTGCTCATGTTATTTTTTTTGTCGATATCACTTGACTAATCAATGATTTTCTGTCAAGTTGACAAATATATTAGTTTTTTCTCTTTTCTGAAAAAAAAAGTTCATTTTTTATGTTTGTGAGGATAATGTCTTTACATAATTCATTTACGGTAATAATTAAGAAATTGTGTTTTTTAAGTAATTATTTTGAAGTAAAGCGATACGTATACTGTGTCGTAATGTCCCCTGTGTAGTAGAAGGAATAAAACAGCATAAAGAGAATGCATATTTCTAGCGATATTTTAGATAAATATGTTAGAATATAACTGAGTTAGACAGATCTCTAAAAAACATGCTCAACAGGTACCAAGTAAACTCGGTTATTATTTGATAGAACGGATTGACACATCACATATTACTGTCTGACCACAATCGGTTTTCACTACTGATTGAGCTGGTAAACACCAACCATTTGATGCACGCGGTCTAGGAAAGATCGGCGCAATCCAGTGATTGTCTCGCTTGTTATTTTTTTTTATGGTTGCACAAACTTCGTTGTAAAGAGAAAAGAAAAATTGTGTTTGTTAAGAAACAGTGGATAGCAATATACTTATTAAAATAATTCTCCTGATTTTTTATTTCAGAATCTTAGATATCTTTATAGGAAAAAGGATGCTTTTAAGGGTACTTAAAACTTTACTTATATTTAACAATCAGTATGCAATCATAACGTTTTTTATTTTGATAAGCGTGTGTTTAATGTTAATATTATTAATTGTAAACAGATACATATTTTTTTTAATTTCTCTTTTCTATAACTGTTTTTTTCGAAACTTAGAATCTTCAAGCGGAGAAGATAATTGCTTTTTAAAGTGTTACAAAGAGTCAATTAATTTAGTTTAAATATATCTTGTTGTCATTTATTTTGAGAGAAAAGTATAGAAAGTTTAAATAACGGTTAACCTCGTATTCCACGGTATAATTAAGATGGTCATGAAGATTATTAAAAGTTTCTAATATTAATGTGATCATATTTAATTAATATTAGAAACTTTTAATAACCATCATGACCATCTTAATTTTACCGTAGACTACGAGGTTAATCGTTGTTTGAACTTTCTGGAGCTTTCTTTTAAAATAAATGACAACAAAATACACACATTTACAAATTTTATAAGGAAATCTTTAGGTTAGCACGTCTTTTCGTGAACATTATGCATTACCTGACACTCATAAAGACCCGCATCTTCATGATTGACGTTTTTAATCAGTAGATTCCAGCCAGGACCGTTTGAGACAACGAAACGCGTATCTATAGAATGTGTACTTCTACCCACGGTGAGCAGTTGTCTGTCTTTTCTTCTGATCCACGTTACCTAAAATATAAATTTTATTTATGAATTATAATTAAGTGCATACAAATATATTAATTCTCCGGAGCAAAAAAATCTGCAACACAATTACTGACGTTGGGTCTATGAGGCATTTAATATTGTATATGTTAATTAAAAGGCATTAATTAAGGAAATGATATAACTTATACTTGCAAAAAGGAATGAATATTAAGTATATTTTAATAACAATAATGCAAATTTGTGTAGATGTAAGGTAAAGGAAATTGAATTATTTAAAAAATTTGTAACACTTTTAACAAAGAGATTTATAATTGTGTGGAAGTTTAATAGACCTATACAGTCAGCTCCAAAAAATTAAGTAAGATTAAAAGCTGATGTACATTTTAAAAAAGTATGTAACATTATATAAATAATATATATAAAGATAACACAATTTACGAAAGTTATTAATTATAAAATTTATAAAAATTTGTCATTTTTACAAAAACTAGTACTTTTACTTCTAACTATTTAAATGCATCTTTATATTTTAGACAAAAAATTACAATTAATAGATTATATATATATATATAT